GAGGGAGGCCGGGGACCTTTTGAAAATAAAAAAGTGACATTCCCTTGAGAACAAATATGAAAAAGTGTGAAAGAGTTAAAAGAATACAGAATACAGATATATTTTAAGTAACATCCTCCCTCTCCGCTAAAAGGAATTGAGTCTTTGCCACAAACTCAAATTATATAATTCCTATATCTTTACAACCTGATGGTGTAAACCTTTCATATTTCAAACTTAGATTATTTGATCTAACAGAACTTTTTGCAAATAAATTATCAAGTACAATAAGTGGCAACAGAGAAATGGACCAATTATACATGACGTCACAATTGTCAAATAAAACAAGGAAAATGAAATTTTCTCACTTTTTGTTGACAGGTCTTCCAAGATTAAATAAAAAAGTGTAAAAATAGAATATAAAGAAACTCAAAAATGCACTTATTTCTTTTTTTAGATGAGTACTTTATTTTGAAGTTATCACTTTTCATATTAGTTTTGTCGGACACAAAAACTGAGTTGACACTTGTGACGTAAGAATACAGTTGTTCTGAGAGTTACCAATTCTACGTTGCCATCTATTGTACTTGACAAACTATTTGATAGTTTGAAATATATAAGGTCTACGACATTGTGTTGCAAAGATTGGGATTACAAAATAACAGTTTGTGACAAAGACTTAATTCCATTGATAATCTGCTTTTATTCTTTTACCTTCTTACCTAAACTTTATAATTTCCCCCTTTTTCCGTTCATTTACTTAATATTATTTTCCCTCAGTGTTCCTTTCTTTATCATTCTGATTTAGTTTTCACAAATACAATATTTAATCTAGCTTGCAGCAAAAAGATATTCAAAAACGGCTGAACCAAACAAAAAATCAAAATAATATCAATCATAAGGATTGGGACACATCTGATACATAGGTTTATAATATTTTGTTAAAAAATTGAATTTTACCATGTATATCTCTTGTTTTTGATAAAAAGTACTTTTTTAATCTTTTGTATTTAACGAGGGGTTATAATATCAAGAACACGTAGTCAAATGTGTTTACATGTATCTATCTATCTATATATATATGGGGGGAAGGGGG